CCCCAGTTCCCTCAGCCGCTCCTCATAAGGCCTGTGCTCCAGACCCTTCACCAGCTTCGTTGCCCTTCTCTGAACATGCCCAAGAGCCCAGATTTACTCCCTCTGGGCCCAGACTTATCTCCTCAGGGCACAGATTTACTTGCCTATGGCCCAGAATTACTTGCCTGGGGAACAGATTTACCCCCTCAGACCTCCCATTTACACCCCAGAGCCCAGATTTAGAATCGTAGAATTGTTTAGTTTGGAAAAGACCTTTAAGATCATCCAGTCCAACCATTAACCTAACACTACCAAGTCCACCACTATACCAGTTAAGGGCAGAGTAGCAATTTCATGTTTCCTGGCTCTGTGGCTGGATTACTTATAATGTTCTTCTTCATCTGTAGTTGACGAGCACCATTTGCTAAGTGCGTAGAAAGCTATCTCAAGGTAAAATATTATGTCAACAAGAAAGTATTAGCTGCCCTGACATAAGTATCCACATGCATCCTTGCAATGGATGGAGCTGAAGTTAGTAATTTAGTTGGAGCTAAATTACCATTAATTACATAGTAAAGGCACATACTTGAGCACTTGTGATCAAACAGCTAACGTAGTGTTTTCTAGCTTACCTAACAGTAAATTGAGTTAATACCCTCACAGCAGAGACTAACTGTTTGAGAAGGTCTAAAATATTCACACTTCATGCATAGTATAAACACACACTAAACCCAACTATAAACTAGAGTTAACTTTTAAAGGACCTCACAGTGTGGCTGACAAATATATTAATAGACAGACATAGCTTGTTCCTCTTTAAAAAAGGTAACTGTTGAAAATTGTCCATGTGAATTTCAGGAAATGGGTTTTAATAAATCTATTTCTTTAACAACTCATGCTTTACATGAACATAAAATGAAGTATTTTATCATTTTTCTGATTATTATATTGACTTTCAGTCATCAAAAAAGAATACCTGGCTTTTTTATTCAATTATTTAATTTTCCACATTAAGATGAAAATGCTCTTAGAGCATGCAGCATTTAACAGAATACAAAGATGCAATGTAACCAACAACATTAATTCCACACCTCTAATATCCCTGCTCTCATAAAGAGAAAGACTTCTAAAATTCAAACTGTCCTGATAATTTAAAATAACTTAAATCTAATGTTGAGCATCATAAGATGTACAATATTTCATTATTATCTCAACAGCTCTTTCTTCTACAGAAAATTCAATCTTTTATTTACTAGAAACAAAAGCCTATTTTATTTTTTTCAAAAAGGAATAAACTAAGTAATTATAATACCAGATCAAATAACTTCAGCTCCTTAGGTAAGCTGTCAATGAACAAGATTTACATTTGCTTTTAAGGGCAAGATCTTATGACCGTACTACATAGTTACCAATAAATGCCCCAGTGTTACAAGAGAATGGTTATATCCTCAAGGGACACGAGATACTGTAAAATTCTCACATTTATGAGCATGTATGCATGTTATTTACATGTATGTATGTTATTTTTTACTGCAATAAAAGCCTTGCATCAAAGTATTCACAATTCTGCAAAGATTTAAATAGGGATTTAACTTTTTATGGTATATTCCATATATCGACTATAATATGTCTTTGGATACTGCAAAAGATTTCATTGTTGAGGACTTGAGTCAAATATAAGGTTCTGTGAAAAACTACTGCTGTACAAGGGAGTATGAAAACAATCCACATCTCACTAGTTCTTCTTTATGTCTTTCTGATTGTACATATGTAGAGTGTATGCAATAATATATAAGGAAGGAGAGGCGGTGGGGTGGCTCGGTATGTTAGGCAGTGTTTTGATTGTATAGAGCTCAACAGTCGTGATGATTAGGTTGAGTGCTTATGGGTAAGGATGAGGGGGAAGGCCAACAAGGCAGAAGTCCTGCTGGGAGTCCGCTACAGACCACCCAACCAGGACGTAGAGATAGATGAAGCATTCTATAAGTCACTGGCAGAAGTCTTGCAATTGCTAGCCATTGTTCTCATGAGGGACTTCAACTTGCTGGACTTCTGCTGGAAATACAACACAGCAGTGAGGCAATAGTCTTGGAGGTTCTTAGAGTGTGTGGAGGATAACTTTCTGACACAGCTGGTAAGTGAGCCTACCAGGGGAGGTGCCTCGCTTGACCTGCTGTTTACAAACAGAGAAGGACTCGTGGGAGATGTCATGGTTGGTGGCTGTCTTGGGCTTAGCGACCAGGATATGATAGAGTTTTTGATTCTTGGTGACGTAAGGAGGACGGGCAACAAAACCGTTACCATGGACGTCCGGAGGGCAGACTTTGGCCTGTTCAGGACACTGGCTGGGAAAGTCCCTTGGGAGGCAGTCCTGAAGGGTAAAGGGGTCCAGGAAGGCTGGGCCTTCTTCAAGAAGGAAGTCTTAAGGGCGCAAGAGCAGGCTGTCACCATGTGCTGTAAGACCAGCTGGTGGGGAAGACGACCAGCCTGGCTGAACAGGGAGCTTTTGCTGGGACTCAGGGAAAAAAGAAGAGTCTACCACCTTTGGAAGAAGGGGCAGGCAACTCAGGAAGAGTACAGGGATCTCGTTAGGTCATGCAGGGAGGAAATTAGAAAGGCAAAAGCTGAGCTAGAACTCAATCTGGCCAATGTTGTAAGAGATAATAAAAAATGTTTTTACAAATACATTAACAACAAAAAGAGAGCCAAGGAGAATCTCCATCTTTTGGTGCATGAGGGGGGGAACATTGTCACCAAGGATGAGGAAAAGGCTGAGGTACTTAATGTCTTCTTTGCCTCTGTCTTTAACAGCCAGACCAGTCATCCCCAGGGTATTCAGCCCCTTGAGCTGAAAGACAGGGACAAGGAGCAGAATGGAGCCCTCATAGTCCAGGAGGAAGCAGTTAATG